TATCTATCTATCTATCTATCTATCTATCTATCTATCTATCTATCTATATAAAATTATATTAATAGTTTCAAAATTGTCAATACCATGAGACTGCAGAAAGTTGAATATCATATTGGAGTTGGACTCTGTCATAACAATGAAGACCCCACTCCAAACAGCAATGACAGCGTTCAGGCAAGACCATGCAGTGAGATATTCTTCTCATCTCACTACAACTGTCAACTGAGAGATTTCAGGGGTTCAACAGGGGCCTCTAATCGGTCTAACAGTTCTTCTCACATTTACGCCCACATTTTCATCGTTTCATCATTTGTTCAAAATGGTTCAAGATAGTATAGAAAATATTTGTCTTTTCTATTTCTATTAGTTTGTGTGTGAACACATTTATTTATCGCTTTCTGTAAAAGTCACGCTTTTATTCTGTGACGGCCTATTTCTCCAGGCAGCTGACCAGTTTCTGTTATTTTCCAATGAGTCAAAAAACAAAAATACCTTCAGGACGTTCACTCCAGCCTCAATCACGACTGAAGGTTTGCAATATCAAATGATTAATCACTGCTGCTATTAATATTGAAAAATAATGCATGTATGAGTGGTATTACTTATTTTCTGAACATATTTATTCATTTAGTCAATGCTTGTCTCCAAGAGATTTTTCAATGAGTTTTCACATTTCTGGGATGAGGTCATTATCCGAATTTCCCATTGAACAATCACAAATGTCTTTTGGGTGACAAACCTTGCCTTCCTGCCGTCCACGTCTCATCCTCATCAAAGTGCACGTCTCCACCCAACCCCTCTCCTGGCTGAAAGGCGTGAGCCAGCACACCCTGGGGTCCATCGAAGGGAAAGAAATCCCCGTGCACTACGCGGCAGACGGAGAAAATTTGTGATACATATACGGATCTGTACTTCATCCATGATAATATCTCTGTTTACAGATTTACTTCCTCGGGCGAAGGTGAAGACTATGTCGGCTTTGCCCTGGTTGACTCTGATGAAGCTCAGTGGTGCTGCGTCGCTCCACATCTTCAGGGCAGCATGTAAGGAGCTCTCCACATCCTCTCTCCTCATGTCAGGGGTATATTTTGCAATCCTGTATCCCAGTGAAAAGAATTTGAACTAATTTAATTTGTAATACGAGGTTAAAGATTTGGTTCAAATGTAAAAAGTTGTGGCTGTAAAGTGGGGTCTCACTTGTATGTGATGGTGTGGTTCTTCCATTTAGGCTTAAGGGGGTAAAAACTGAAATTTTCCACATCCGGGACCCCACATCTGGGTTCTCTCATGAAATCCGCCAAGCTTTCTGATTCTTTCAGACCAAAGTTCTGTATCTCTCTGAGTTTCTCCTCCGTGGCTGGCACAGACCTGGTCCTTCTTCCCAAACCTCTGGAGTTTCTGTCTATGAGTTTCAGACTATGGAACCTCTGGAGATAATCCTGTTGGTATATATGAGGCTTTCAGATCTAAAGAGGATAAGATGTCTAAAATATATCTGTTAAGTGTTCTTTCGTCTTTTTTTTTCATTTTTTGTGTCGGATTTACTGTCTGCTATTATAATTGCAATTTACTATTTAATTTGCTATTCTTTAAAATAAACTGTTGTCATGCTTTTGATCAACCAGTCAAACTATAACCTGACATCATGTTACAGGTATCCACGCAAAAAAAGTGAAGCTCTGATATCATGAATCCCAGTTTGATAAGCCTCTCTTCCACTGCATATAAATATCTCAGATGGAGAAGTGGTTCTTTTCATTTGTTCTTAGATGACTCGATGCTACACAAAGAGGTCCTGTTCTGTCAACATGCTCCCTGCCAAAAGGTTTTCTCCTCTTTCTTTTACTTGTGAACACCGAGTTGAGCTCAAATAAAAATCATACACATAAATGTCTCCAAATTCTTCAATCTTTTGAACACATATTAGACTTCAGTTTATTGAATGCTTAAAGTCTTCAAAATGTTATGGTGAGATATAGTATATCATTCTGATAACTCTTGCCTAATCAGTTCCTCCTGCTGTTGCTTTTTAGCACATGATTTTTTTCCCTCTCACTTTCATTCAAGGTGAGCTAATATTTCCCTGAAATAGGAAACAGTTCAATGACAAGTTTTCAAGAAGCTATTGGGGATAAAACGTTGGTGTTTTTTAGGATTTGTAAATCACTACATTGTCTTTACATCTATTTCAGCTGTATTCGCTGTTTCTTTTTTTAAGCGGGGCTGAACTTCTTACCCTTAAGTCTGCTTGTAAAGTTTATTTCTGGTGAAAATATGAAAAAGTTCTAGCTTCTAATTCATTGCAGAAAAAAACACACTTGCTTCGCTTTGGACTCTGACCCAAACCAAACACACACTATTGAAGGCACTGTTGCACAACAGTCAAATCAAACATGCACTTTGATATTTTAAATATTTTGGAAGAGGAGGCTGGATCCTATTTTTTCAGTCTGGTAAAAATGGCTGCTCAGTAATCCATCCACAAACCTCTGCAAGGTTCACATCCTCAGGTCTCAGCTGCTGAGTCTCATCAACCGGTCGAGTCCACAAGATTTCCATAAACATCAGTGAGCCCAAAACGTGTATCCATATCCAGAACGACCCCATCTTTTAACAATGCTCATTGCCAAAGGACTGCGTGTTTTTATATATGTTGGTGAGCTGTCACGTGGATCATAAATGCTCAACCCTTGTAATTACCTATAAGTTGAACATCCACATTTGTCAGGAATTTTTGTCTGTGAGGGTAAAGAGAATGCCTGTGCAGCATATTCTACAGCACAAACAACTTCAAAATGTTTTTTTTTCTTTTTTGCTCAGTCAAGTTAAAACCTGCCGTCATTTGTGATGCAAACCTAATTCACCCTTTGCTGTGTCTGTGTGATAGTCTGCACCACATACTGATGGATGACGAAGATTTATTTCACCCCAACCACAGTCGCTGCTAACTGGTGCAGACATTTCACCGTGGCACTGAATCACATCAAACAACCACAAACAGTTATCATCCAGTTCAGATGGCCACGCTTTATTTCCATAAAGACCCAGACTACTGTCTCATTTCACCATCAAAGCGCATTTCTCTTCATGTTGTATTAAAAAATATTCAAGTTATTTCTTTGCATATTGCAGTTCATACAGTATTTTAACAGCCAAGCCAGGAATTTGATGCTTCAGTGTTGACAACAAGTTTGCGGGTAAGGTCGAATTTGTAGACTTGCGGTCCCAAAAAGAAGTAGATGAAATCTAAAAGACACACAGAAAGCAAATATGAATGAAGAGCAGATCTTTAGGTATAAACCTGTATTCAGTATGCAAAGTTGATCCTCTAAACTCAAAACATCTATTCTCGCTAACGGCTAAAATTACAGCATGTGACATAAAGGAGTGAAAGTTGTAAATCAAATATTCTCAGTCAAAGTCGGAGCCACATTTGCTGTAAAAACTTGAGCATTCTTGTGTTAGTAAATTAGCATTCCTGCACTACTGATAACATAGCACTTTGCAAAAGCCCCTCAGACCACAGACGCACCAATACAGCCCTGCATCTGTTCATTTGTGCGCTCCTCATTTTTAAAGGGGACAAAAATTTGATCTTTCTCACTTATAATTTACTTATACTTTTCTTACTCTCTTTGTGGAAAGCAGCATCTATTGTGGAGTTTACTCCGGGAAATCTTTCGATGATGTACTTCGGGTAACCAGAATCCATTACCTTTCGGTTTTCATTGTAGCTTTAAAAACACACACACACACACACACACACACATTCAAGAAACACAGAGCAGTTATATGTACAGTGATATGCATGTGCGCTGTGTGAAGAAGAGGAACTCCATCTGCACAGGCTCATAAATCAAATCACAGTCTGCAGTCTGCATCCTGAATTTGCCTTTGCCTTTGAGGACAGGTATTTACCTCCAGTAAATATCATGCATAAAGAAGAGGGTGCGCCCTGTTTTGACGATGTGCACAGCTGCATCAACATCTTGAACCCAAGCTGGAAATCCGAAGTGGGTGAGAGCTCGAGGTTTTCCCTTCACAAGGGAGCCTTTCACTGTCCAGAACATGGATTCTGTCGATGGATAATCATCATTCAAAGCGTGGATTAGTTGTCCAAAATTGAATGAAGCATGAAAAATGTGTCTGAAAATGAAGGCTGTGCTAAATGTTTGAGTGTGACGCAGGTTACAATTTTTAAACTGTATTTACTAACTGGTTACCATGAATGAGGTAGGCGGTGGATCTCCGGGGTACCCAGAAAGCAGCATCCACACGCGTTTCAATCTTGGGCATAAAGTTGGTGATGGGACCTTCTTTGATGTCAGACTGCACATTGTGCTTAATCCAAAGATATCTTGTGGGGTTGGGTTTTAAAAAACAAATAAAGACACACAACTTTTAGAATATTTTCCAAGCAAGTTCAGTAGCACTCGAGGTGAGTTGTTCTGTGTCAGATAGGCTGACTATCTTCTGTATTTTTTAACAAATGAATAGAAGGGACAGCTAACAACCTGTCTCTGAAAAAGACGGTTGAGTCCCCAAGAGTTGTAATTGCATCAAAGGTCATGTCGGGTCCACATTTGTCCGGCAGGAGTCTGTGGGACAGTTGGTTGGGCAGCCAGGGGTTGTGTTTTGTGCTCCTCAACGCATAATCTGAATGACCACTGAGAGGACCTGACACACATCAAGACAGGTTTATGAATCAGGGTCCACATAATGAGAAACAATCATGAGTTCATAGCTTCAGTACAGTCACGTGAAAATGAAAAAAACGTTTTCAATTTTCCTTTTTTATTGATTGAATAAGAAACAAATAATTTCCAGATTGATAAACAGGCAATAGAATCATCTGTCCCATCTCTGCAGATTTTGTGTCTTTCTTGCGCTCTTTGTATTCTGTATTTTTACTTACTTTATGTTGAATGTCACTTGGCATAATGTGTTATAGTTCTCTATCAGACATTGTAATCACCTATTTTTAAGACCTGATGGGGACCAGATCATTTTCTATTATTTCCTGATTCTTAAAACTAGAGAACTTTCTTTCACACATAACTGTAGACATGCGGTATTAAATACACTAGTGAAAACACATTACTGTAAAGTGCGTTGACATCGGCCACATCCTGTGTGGACAGCAGGTTGGCAGGAGGGGAGCTTCTGTAGTTAGGATACATTATAGACTCTGGGTTTCTGGAGTGTTTGAGGCCCAACGCGTGACCAAACTCATGAGCTGCCACCACAAATAGATTGGAACCTGCAAAACCAAGATACAAAATTACATTTAGGTTGATATTTCTGCGTTCACCCATTTCTGCTGTGCAGTTCAGTTCAGCACCTGTTTCTCCTGCTGTCCAGTGCTCATCGTCATCAAAGTGCATGTCACCTCCAGCGCCCAGGCCTGGACCAAAGGCATGGGCCAGAGCACCCCCGGGGCCATCGAATGGATACAAGTCACCGTGGGCTTCATAATACAATCCAGACCATACATGTAACAGAAACCACAAAGAAAACCAATTAATCTCAAGCCATTAAGAAATCACAGGGCTCCATTCAGCTCACCTCAGCGAGTTTTCCGTGTTTGATAGCCAAAACAAGACGATACCAACTGAGCTTGGATTCAAGCTTCATCAACAGCTATTAGACCCTGCGATCTGTAGGTTTCATTTACTCTATTGTTTAGTTACTCAGAAATTGATGCTGTCAGGACTTCTTCTCTCTAGCATCTTCTATCACTGGTCAGTGCAACGCAAAAAATCGAACTCACCGTGGGTCACAAAGTCCACCGTGATGTCTGCAGTACGGGTGTTAGACCTGACAAACGTCAGGCCACTGACCCCCGCCCACACACCCACAGCTGACTCAATGGAAGAGTCCACCACACTGCGAGGCAAATCTCTGGTGTATCTGCTGACGCTGCAAGAGCAAGAAAGACATTTTACATTGCCGGTTAGGGTCATTTTTCTGATACCACAATGTTGTTCTCACTTGTAATACTTTCCCCAACAGCAGTAGCAACCCAATCCAATATACCACAGATGTGCGTCCACAAGACTCTGAAACTATTTCATGTTAAAGCAATAATAATTTCTGCCTTTATGTGACACATTTGCTCAGCATGTAATCCCTCAAACACAGCTTCCACATTGAAATGCACAGACAGTGTTACATAAATCCGTGCATGTACGGTCAACCCTTCCAACAAGCCCACAAAAACTCCCAGAGGCAGGAGTCCAAAGCCCAAAATCTGTTAGCCACAAGGACTTGTGACAGTTGCTTCCCTCTACTGCTGCCAGACATTTTATTGCCTGCTGGCTCGAGCTGAGTTTGAGGAATTGGCGAGATTTGCCTATTCAAAACATCCAGACTCATGATAGATGTCAGCTCCCAGACACTTTTTTTAGCTTTTAAAGTGAAATGACTAAGGGAAGCTTGATCACCGGATATCATTAAAACCATTCAGTACCTGTATGTGATGACGCTCTTAGCCCAGCGTGTCCCTTGGATGCGACTGGATTCTTCCACATCGGGAACGCCACACCGGGGGCTCCTCATCAGCTTCAGGGTCTCAGAGTCTAGAAGGCCTGTAGCATTGAGCCCAAAGAAACTCTGCATGTCTTTCACTTTGGAGATGAAGGAGAGCCTGTTCTGTTTCATGTGATCTCTTTGCAGGTTGTAATACCGCCGCAGGTAGTCCTATCAGCAGATTTAGACACCATTCAGAAGCTGTTCTGCACTGAGAGGTGACATGCATGATCCCAATTAAACCAAACCTTATTTCACAATCACAGCAAGAATCGGAGTTTCTGCGAAATAATTAAAAACTTTGTGGGATCTACTCAAAAATGAGTTCGGAAGAGGTGTTCTTTTTGGTTTATTCATATTTTGACTTAATTAAAAACTCACAACTGGACTTGCTCAAAAGGAAAAGCCGTGAAAACAGTAGGACGAGGAAAGAAAGTGAGGATGCTGAAAGAATCTGCTGAAACGTGCAATTTCACAGCAAGAAAGGCTCCGAGGGCAGAGCGGTCACTTACCTCCGCCTCCCACATGCTTAAAACTAATGCAACGGAAACGGCTTCTCAACAAACACTTGCAAAAATAAATTCTCTCCTTGTAGTTAAAGCAACATTATAAACACTTTCCAAGCTGGCACGACTTCTCGTGAAGTGAGTCACAATAGGTCCACTCTAAAACGTGATGCCTTTCATGCAATTATGCACTTACTGTGGCCAGATCCAAGTCAACCTGTGGTTCTGGTGAAGGAGAGCTCTTTTCCTCCGGAGCAGATGTAGGAGCTGGAAATCCTGGACCGGGCATGAGCCAGACCAGGACACAGGACGAGAGCAGCATGACATGCATTTCACAGACTTAACAGTGCATGAACTGCAGTGGCCTGCTGTAGTTTGAGCGCGTGGAAGTTCTGGTTAATGAGAAAGCCTTTTAAATGGTGATTGTGACTCATACCACATGCAGATCTTCGGAGAGCCTCTTACAGTACTATGGAATTAGGGAGGGGTTTGCAACTAGCGAAGGACAGCAAAAAAAAAAAAGGAAGAAAAGGTTTTGGGGTTTTTTGTTGGGTCATGTGGCATACTTGCCAAAATTATGTTTTAAATGCATGCACGAATTTATGGTTTTCAGCTTCAAAGTCTTTCAGTGTAGTGAGTCAAAAAGCGTTACTAAATTCAGAAAATTTAAACGTTTCTGATGGAAGTTTTTAATGGTGCTTCGCATAGATCTGCTCACAATTCTGAAAAAAGTGAATGAACAGCAACTTGGTCAAACATGAGAACAAGAAATAAACACTTTTGATGAGCAAGTAGCCCCTCAATGAAACTGATCCTGTTCGTATTTTTACTTTTCAAAATGGACATGATATTCTCAAAAGAGCCCATGAGGAAGAATCCCATCGGGCTCCTTTTAGACTGATGCACAACAATGACCTGAGAGGCATTTCTCAGTCCCACGCATTCTGCAAAGGTCTCCAAAAATAACTCCATAAAAACGTATTCTTGTTTGTGTTTAAACTCATGTAAGAGCCTTCAATGAGAGGAAAGGGAGCTGAAATTGCAGGGGTGGATTTAAAGCCTTCGCAAAATAAAATGGCCGCCAGCCAGGACAGCCAGACTGGCAAGGGTGGTGCCGCGGTACATTCAGACTACAATTACAGCTGATTGGTCATTGTGGAGCTTTATGGGACCAAGAGCATTCCTCTGTAGAGAAGTGAATGGACTGGGATACCTTCTCCTACACTTAAAGAATCTGTGTTGCTTTGGTTTTACAGTCTGGTTTTACCATGTAGACGAGGTAATGGGTTCAATTAAAGCTGTGGCGGTGATTAAGAGAGCAAGTGCCGAGATGCCAGGTTACAGGATGGGAGAGACCTTTCCAAAGACCGGGGTCTTTTGATCAGCAGATTATGGAGTTGCACAAACAAAAACCAACACAAAGATATACTGTAAATTTTCAATTTGTGTCTAATACAGTACAGCAGCTGCAGTAAATGAAAAAAAATGCCCTGTTGATGAAGACTAAATTAGTTTTTTTCACTTTTTTTCACCCCAACTCTCAAATTGATATCAGCAGGACGTCTAGTTTGTGAGCCCACCATATTGCGTTCAGTCCACAGGGGGCCAGATGGAGCAGCCATTCTCTCAGGAAAATATTTTTAAAATTTGATGCCTTATTATCGGGTCAGATTTGATGAAAGCATGGCGATTTTAACACATACCCTTGACTGGGTACCTTGAAACATTTATATAACAAGAAATCAGGTAAGTTAAAACGGAAACATACCAGGAAAAATCACATATTTGGGGAAAAGGTTGTGGTCAATAATGTATCATATCAGGTGTGTAGCCCAAAAATTCAACTCCTGCCATTTTTGCCTGATGAATATAAGACAACAGAAAAATGAACATGATAATTCAGGAAATGCTATGACATTGTGCTTCTCTAAAGAGTTGTTTTCTTGTTGTAGCTTCCAAACTGTGAAATTTGTTTGGTAAGATCTAAAATTGTGCCAGTTGCCTTTTACACTTAGAACCCTTACATATAGCATGCAAACCCATATACACACATTGTATTACTCAGTTTGCATCCGTCCAGAGTGGACTGAAAATAACTTTAACATACTTTTGCAACTTTCCAAATCACACAGTGAGACGCACGAAATACAAAAAATCTAAATTGTAGACCGTAGTTAAACATGTTCTTTTGGTTCCCCTTCTGAGCATAGAAATTTTGTTTATGATTGCCACACCAGAGACAAAGAAAAGGCGCCAGACATGTTACATTTTAGAAATAAAAGCTGTTTTATCCTAGTCTAAAATAGTTATCTAAAAGCACTTTCTAATGTTCCATTCAGAACTGGAAGTTGCTCATCAGCGTGTTTGAAAAAAACAAAAAAAAGGGTACACTGAGGGTAATGTTTACAGTTTGGAATTTACACACCAAGGTCAGCGATCACAATGATAAACCAGATTGGAGCAGTAACTACCAAAAACAACATCCATATTAACTCCCGCTTCATATATAACAAGTCATTACCCTCAAAATCAAACCAGATAGTGTTATAAGTTCTGAAAAATACATCACTGCGTGATCTATTTTTGCAGTGATTTACAAGGACATGCAAAGTTTATAGGGATGAAAAGTGCTTAAGAAATCCTGACTATGGCTCCTCCTTGTGGCCATATAACATGCTGCAATATAACCACACGGAGAACCGACATTGTGCATTTTGACAAATAATTCCAAACAGCATAAGCGATGCACACATACACACAATAAAAACCCAAACATCTATTTTGATTATTATAATTCCGCTCACGTGCGGGAAAATAGATAAAATCGTCATCATTATTGCAGAGATACATCAGCCAGTCAGTGCCACTATGTTGAAAACTTACATGAAAATGTATCAGCTTACTTAATATAATTGCTGATGAAGATGATACAATTCCAGGAGTAGAGTTGTGATTCTCAACCATCAGTTCTCTGCCGCCCCCTTGTGTTGACCCTTCATGACATCTTGTTTTCCAAAATGACACTGCTACTGCCCGACCCGACACTTCAGCAGCTGTGTGGTTCTCAAGCCCAGCATTTCCTCTCCGGTTGCAGTTGCCTGGTAAGCAAAGTCACAACCTTTGTTGTATGTTATTTGTGGAATTGCAGCATCAGTCTCGTGTTATGTCATTTTGTCACTCTGCTTGCAAGGCATGGAATCAAAGCCATACCTTTCACAGCAAAGGTGACTCCTGCTATGCCTCTTTAAAATGACAGAAATAACTTAGTTTGACAGAAATAAAGTAATATTGCCATTTCCCTATTGAACTTTGTGCAGAAATCTATCCTGGCATGGCACTGAGCTGCAGCGTGTCCTTTGAAACAACTGAGGACAGGAGAAAGCAAAAGTGGCGGGCCTTGAAAAATGATTTACAGCACATGGGCAGTATTTGAATGTGATGTCCTTGAGAAATAAGAAAAATAAATCCATCACACAGGCGATCGACTCATTTGACCCTTTGTAGTTTATAGAGTACGTTTCCTGTCCAACAACACTCATTAGAGGAAGTCTCCACAGAAGGGAGGCTCTCAGGAAGCGCTCATTAGAAAGGGAAACAGGGAGAGGAGGCTGAGCTATGCCAAATAACTCAAGAACTGGACTGTAAACCAGTGGCAACGGGTCTCATGGAGAAACTGTCCAACTCAGATCCAAGACATTAGCTTGATTGAAGTGTGGGATCGTCTTAGCAGAGAACAGAACAAACACAGAAGGCAGCCAAAGCTCTTCAAATAATGAGTTATAAGAAGCTTGGAGGATTATGCATTGGCCTCTTTAATTATGATTGGATTATCTTCTGGTATCCACCATCCAAAAGTAAGGAAAATGTATATATATACAAATATATATATACAAATAGAAAGGGATGAACCATCATAGAAAAATAACATTGTGCCACTGTCTCATTTTCAGAAGTGGCTGAAATTACAAAGACAGTGGCTAAAAAGTGTCTCAAAGGCTTCAGAAGCATTCTGAGGCAGAAGGCTGAAGAATGGGCCGCAGAATCCATGTCTACCAAGCTGTGCAGAGCAGCCTAAAAAGTATCAAGAATGGTGTCCTAATACATCTCTACTGAGTATGGGTCTAATTTTAAAGGTGTTGGTGAAAGGCAGAGCTGAAATGTGGGACTTTGGTGAATTTGAGCTTATTATGAACGTTCCACATCTTGCCCTTAAAAGTCAATTTATTGATGGTGTACCTAGTAAGAAAAACAATCTGTAAAAACAAGCAGTTAAGGAAGAAATTATGACAGAAAGATTCAGTGAACAATGTTCTGCTTAAGTTTGGCGAATAAAATAATGTGATTTAATTATTTTGGTGCAACAGTTAGATTTTTGATATTCTTTCCATTCATACAACTTGTTTTTCTACAGGATCAAGTGCCAAGAATGTGAAGTAATTCATAAAACATACAATTGTATGAGGCCCTGCCTCATAGCAAAGAAGAAGTGAGTTAACAACAACAAAAAAAACACTATGATCATCATTGTGGTACCTGAGATCTAGGTCATGACATCTCCCTCTGGAATTGATTCTTCTGAACTACGCTTAGTCACACACATACACAAACGGAAAAAACTGAGACATGAACATTGACATTTGTCACCATGAAGCTTTTTTAAAATACTTTTCCACAGAATCATTTCTCATTAAATGTCTTTGAATCAATCAAGATACCTGAAATCTGGGTTTAGATCAGTTTGACAATCCATTTCTTGTGCCCTGAGTGCAACGGTGAGAGTTCACGGGAGTTTCTGGGTCAGCAGGGCTTCTGATAGCTCAGCACACACACATCCTGCACATATCAGTCAGTGTCTGGTCTCCTCCAATCTTTTTGTGTCCGTGCATGTTTATTTGTCACTGGCGTTTCAAAATAGCTGCAAAAATCCCCCGTCGAGATTCAACTTCCCCACCGTGAGTCAGTCGAGCTCCCAGCCACCACCTCAAGACAGTTTGTTTCTCCCAAAATATTTGCCTCTCTGCAAGATGTGGAAATGTTTGGATTACACTGTTTGTTTTATGCACAGCACACAGAAACGCTAATGGAGAGCACATGGGCAAGGCCTTTCGAAAATTCTATGAGTTTTCCAGCTTTATTTCTTTTTTCTCTCTCTATATCAAGGCATGAGCTCGGTTTACATTATAGAATGATCAGACTATAGTGGAAGAATGACCAGCACCCTAATTATTGTTGGTCTGATCTTCGTGACATCTGGACTTTTTTGGGAATGGCAGACACACAAATTCCGGATGTAGACAATGAGAGGGATTTTTATGTCGAGCATTTGGCAGCAATTCACTGGTGAATGATTTGGGATATCAGCAGGTATCCAAAAGATGAATGACAATTCCCGTGGTCATTGGCCACTTTGTTCATAGCCAAGACATGAAAACAAATCCACATGCTAATATTAACAAGCCATTATGCTGTCTCAGAGATCCTAATGGAGCGGGAGGGGCTGATAGCAGTTAATTGCCTTCAAGGCCCGCTAACATGGTATTGTGTTCTTTTATCCTTTGTTATTTCTGACCACCCCACAGACCAAATTATCCTTTTTGAAATATGATACTGCTGGTCAGATCTAACTTGAAATGTCAAAACTTATCGATGTTTTTCAAAGTTTCACTTTTTTTCCCTATACGTGCCAATTCCAAGTAGGAGCCTAAAACAGCCTGGACTGGTTTCCAGGTACACAACAAAGGGTCACACAAAAACGAACAAGAGACAGACCTCCCACTTACTGACTGAATCAGTGTTAATGGAAATATTTTTATGGGCTTAAAGTCTCACAGTAAAGATTCTAAACCTTACTTCTTCATTTGGTGACAGAGTAGCTATACTCATGTTCATCAAGGCAACGGCTAGTGCTGATTGTACTAGCCTCTGGTTGTATCTGAGAAATACCATGACTAAAACTAAACTAACTATAGGACTAAAACATATCCTTTCTATGACATTAATGCAATTTCCAGGATATTTCTGATACTGTCAAATATTATCCCAAATATAACCCCAAATACAATAACTATGATTATGTGCAATGTTTGCAAATGTTTAATACTAATATATAAAAAATGACAGGGAACATTTTGAATTTAGGTTTCACATGGGCTATCAACAGTCTATCCTCCTTTATTTTGGTGTGTGTGTTTGTGCGCCGCGTGTCATGTTTACCTAAAATAAGACGTGTAAGACTCAAGACCATCATGAGACCATCAGCAATAGCATGAAAAAAAAATCCCTGTTTTCTGTCATTCAGTTCAGCTTCCGCTGGCAATGATGTTTTGAGGCCAGAGGTGGTAATGTGACATTCATAAAAAAGGAAAACATTTACAGGAACTCTCCTTAAGTAACAAAAATTTGGGAAAAGAGGGGATGCTTATGAAAGCATTTCTGCTCAGTTCAAAGCAGCATCCCCAAACCACAATTTCAGACGATTTACTGATACAGGCACATTCCTAACTGACAAAAGAGGAAGTGGCTAGGTGCTTTCACATGAATCACCAGAACCCTTTGTGAAAAAAAAAAAAAAGGTTGGACAAAAATGCTATAAAAACCGCTCAGCTTTCCTTGACTACATTGACCGGTTTGGACAACTCAGAGTCAACAACAATGAAGGCTTTTGTGCTGCTGCTGGCGCTGGTCGCTTACTCCTCGGCTTTACCTCTGCAGAATGGGGACAGAGACGACCTGGTTTTAGCAGAGGTGAGATCTTCTGAGGTCTCATTCAGTCTTTGGTCTCCCTTGTTGGCTGGCTCCAGTTTGGCTGGTTGACGCTTTGCTGAGTCAGCCTCCATCTGACTGATTTTCTTCTCCTTCAAACAGAAGTACCTTCGTCGCTTCTACGGTCTTCCTGTTGGTTACCAAGGCAGGAAAACATTGTCAGGTGCCTTCGAGACCAAGGTCAAGGAAATGCAAAGATTCTTTAAGCTAGAGGTGACCAATATGCCGACGAAATTTAATCAAGTGTTTCTTTTGCCTGATAGTTGATTTTGATCAAAACCACCAACGTGACCTTTTTTCCATTCTCCTCTAATGGTAAAGGTAACAGGGAATCTGGATGACAACACTTTGGATTTGATGAAGCAGGCCAGATGTGGAGTACCAGATGTGGGCGAGTACAACCACTTCCCTCGACACCTAAAATGGAAGAGCAACAAGGTGACATTCAGGTACGACCTCAGTCAGTACTTGGGAGGATACCGGTAATGCTGAAAAGAGAAAACAAACCTTCGTCAGCTGGTTGTAATGTCACTGGAACTCATCCACCGCTTCTCCTTTTCTGTGTCTTTTGACGCTGAAGGATTTTGAACTACACACCGGATCTAAAGAGATCTGACGTGGACAGGGCTATCCGCAGTGCGCTGAACGTTTGGGCTTCCGTCACCCCTCTGACTTTTCAAAAGCTGCACGAAGGCATCGCTGACATCATGATAAGCTTCGGATCAAAAGGTACACAAACCTGCTTCAGTGTCTCTTTAAAGTGCATTTAAAAGGCGCATAGAATGTTCAGCACAGCAACGCATCCTCTTCTGTTCATCTCCCCGAAGAGCATGGAGACTACAACCCCTTTGACGGGCCTGATGGACTCCTGGCTCATGCTTACCCGCCAGGGCAAGGGATCGGAGGAGACACTCACTTTGACGAGGACGAGCACTGGTCCAAAGACTCTTCAGGTGATGATTATCGTCTGGTATTCCATAATGACGTCGATCTTCGACAAGGACAGTTAAACTCAAGTTGAGCGTTCCTTTTCCCACGCAGCTTACAACCTGTTCATAGTGGCGGCCCATGAGTTGGGTCACGCCCTCGGCATGTCCCATTCCTCAGACGCCGGTGCCCTGATGTACCCCGTCTACTCCTACAGCACAGGCTTCCCTCTGTCTGAAGATGACATTGAAGGCATTCAAGCTCTATATGGTAGGCATATTTCTGATGTATGTTTAGATGTATTGACATTACAGAGTCTTAGCATTAATCAAAATTGAAGGCTTTTTTTAAATTGTTCGTTAACGCCACATTTCAATTCTAGGTTCAAACCCAGACTCAAAGAAAGTGAAGCCGAAGCCTGATGCACCAGAGAAATGTGACCCCATGCTGAGTTTTGATGCTGCCACTGAGCTAAGAGGAGAAACCATCATTTTCAAAGACAGGTACAGTAAAGACAGGTCTGGATGTGTCCTGGTGGTGACGACACATACAGAAATGCAGACCTCCTTGAGACCAAGGATTTAGCCAATTCAACTCAGTTTAAATCAGTTTTGCACAAATAATACCTCATCAACCTCATGAAAGGGGATTATATTGCTAAAGTAGTAAAAATTACCAATGACATACTATTTTTAACTTAGTAACATAGCTGATAAAGTCGTACACAGTGCTTACAGACAAGCAATATTTGTTTTTGACTTGGTTGCAGGAGCAACTGTATGTATGTATGTCATAATAATGATTAATAATAAAGGGAGAAAATGGTTCAAACTTCCATTTTATTCCTGCTCTGCATCAACAACACCTTCCTATTCAAATTTGAGATGTGGACTAGTTAGAGGCAGCTTTGAAAACTGTTACTTTTTGCAAACAACAGAAATACTTTTTTCCAGCGTTATCATTGTAAATAAATGTCAAAGCTTCCAGCATGACAGATGTTTCAGAACGCTGGGTTTTCGCATAAGAAGGCCGCCACTAGTTTGCCACCGTTGAATTATTGATGAATTCCCACCCTTTTGCAGTTTCTACTGGCGGATCCATCCTCAGATGGTGGAACCCGAACAGACACTGATCAAATCAACATGGCCCTCCCTCCCTAATAAGGTTGATGCAGCTTATGAGAACCCAGAGAAGGATTTAGTCATCATTTTCAGTGGTAGGTGTTCTACACGATCTGGTTAAATTTGTCAAACATGAGGCGCAGATGCCCCAACAAAGCTGTATTCTGTTTCATCAGGGATCCGAATGTGGGCTTTGAATGGATACAACCTTGTGGATGGGTACCCGAAGTACATACACAGACTCGGTCTTCCTAAGACCGTCAGGAAAATAGACGCAGCTGTGCACATAAAGGACACCGGCAAGACTCTGCTCTTTGTTGATGAAGAATACTGGAGGTTTGTAAACACGCAACTTACATGACAGTTAGAGAGAGAGATGTAGGCTATCAAAGAAAGGATAAACCCTAAACAAGTCACCCCTCCAATTCAGTCTTGCAATATGGAAATTTTAATTTCAGTGTTTCTGCTTTGTTTTTGTCTCGCGCAGCTACGATGAAGAAAAGAGCACCATGGACAGTGGCTTCCCACGGTCCATTGAGGAAGACTTTCCAGGAATGGATGATGAAGTCGACGCTGCCGCTTTTCACCACGGTACGCTGAAAACGATTACATGTGCAATACATTCAGAGTTCCAATGTGTATCATTAATGTTTGTTGGTAGGGAGGAATGTAATGTATTCAGAAGTGTGTTTATTCTAAAAATGGCATGGAAAGATGAATTGTTCAGTTATTTCTTATACTGTATATTCCTTGCAAAGGGTCCAATATTCAGAGGGGGGATAAAAGAAGACATTTTTAAAAAAAGCCTTGGCTCTAAAGATGGCCTTTTACATTTGATTTTTGTCCTTGCCCACTGTAGTTTTTACAATATGTCTCATGTCCAAAAGTAAGGGGGGGTATTGCAGCCTCTTATTTTCCCCATCAGTTGCCTGTACTAACAATTATCCCCCTCTATTCTCTTTTAGGATTCTTGTATTTCTTTCATGAACACGTTCGGTATGAGTACAGTTACAGCGCAAGGAAGGTCCTTCGAATCTTGAGGGTTAATTCCATTTTTAACTGCTGAGGAGGACGGCGGCTCCTGTCACCCGTGACCTCCCGGAACCTCATTTGAATATAGCTGGCTATATGTGATACATTGTGATGAGCCTCACATATCCAGACAAGTTGTGATGTGACAAAATGCAATTCAGTTGCAAGCAGCAAAATGGACAGATACAGGGATGATTCAAATATCTGTGTATTGTTTCTCGTGCTGGACACAAAATGCTTAAACGTTTCCCCTGAAGTATATGATCCTGTACTACATCTATTTATTTTACAAGTTTAGATTTGCACTAAAGTTCTACAAAAGACACTCATTGCGAAGCCTGATGATATTTTTACCACCTTTAGATTTTTGTCAATACCAACAATAACCTAATTGTTTCAATCTTTTGTTAAAAAAGTAAGTGTTAGGGCATATAATTGGACTAACATTCTTTTGAACACAAGTGTAAAAGAATACTGGGCAATTTTCTTTCAAAATGATGTCATTAAATATGTAAAAAGCTATAAAATATTAATGACCAATTCTATTTCAATGCAAATGGAACGCAATAACTGTTGCTTTTAAAGTTTTGCATTTTTAATGTGGCGGGCATTACTTTACATCAATAAAATCTATTACATGTGTGGAGGTAATGAGAGGATTTGAAAAATCAATGTCAAGAGGAATAGTTTTTAAAGACTAAATTTCTTTGCAAAATTGTTTCAGCGCTTTACTTTTTTTCGTAGATATAAATGGCCTTGTATTCTCATAAAACTTTGGAAAGTATTTATTAAATAAAGTTACTGCCAACTGTAAGTACACTGACTATATATTTTTTGTATTAGCCAAATTCTGAGTTCCTCATCTGATAATATTGTGTGTCGATAGAATTTACATCCCATTTTTAAAATGATGTGCACGACGCTGCCCGGTTCCTTTCCTGCCCTTTCAAATATCCCATTCTCAGTAACACAGATTAGCCGGGAAACATAGTGTCTCTTTCTAGAACATATGAAAAAAAACAGAGGAGCTTATATGAACTTACTGTCTTTGTCCTGGATAGCTCCCGCAGCCAAGGATATGACAAAGTAAGAACTCTAACAAATCTTATATGTGTACTCTCCACTTAACCCTATTATCCCACGTGTCATGTCGAGTCTTTCGCACCTGAGACTTTTTGCATAATTTCATGGTTAAAACTTTGCTCCAAACTTTGTTATGAAAAAACAACAACAAAAAATCAAATTTTGTTAAAGGACCAAATGAAGATGATGAACGGAAACAATGTAATGTTTGCTTTATAGGGTTAAGCTTTAAAGGGTTAAGCTTTAAAGCGATGTTAATGGCCATGCAGCTTGTCTATTTTATGGCCTTTGTTCTCCTGGAGAAAGAAGGTCCATTACTTAAGTCACATCACTCGCTCGTTCATTCGAGCCAATGAGAGGTTCAGCAGTGGTTGTGATGGACTTCACTTTACCTGATGCTGAAGTGAACTGACTTTCTTTTCCTTTGATTCGGGGTTACGTTACAAGGGATGAGAGCTACCTAGCAAAGCCAAACGCTGCTAGAAAAAGTAACAGAACAGGAGTTCTTTTACACTTTCTGTATCAACTCAAATCATATGCAGTTACACACTTACGGTAAACAGTTAGAGCTAAAGCTGTGTAGCGTGTGATACACTGTTTTACCTTGGCTTTGGGTGTTTTGTTTTTTTTCAGATTCTTTTTTAAACTCAGAAAGGTCAGTGTTACCCCAGTATTGGGCAGCCACGGGTCTGTGGCAGCTTTTAGATTGGTGATAAACCAGTGAGACTAACAATTGTCTACAAATGTTAGGTTTACCTCTCACACTCTGTCCAACATGAATCTGATAATAATCTGAAATTGAATTTCCCCATAGTCTTCTCTCTGGTATTTGTCAAAATTTCTCAAGCTGCCATGCCAAGAAATAAAGAGGCAGCCTCGATAGGAACTGTGCAACTAAGAATGATATGAAAGGCAGAGAACTGGAGGTTAAAGTCATAAAATTGAGAAATATTCAGGTTAAACTTTGGCTACGTACATTTTTACTATAATGCATATTTAAAACGAATGTTTGAAGAAATTCTGCATAGAAACACAAAAAAACCCAGCCCAATACCTTTAATTCTGCAGCCTGGAGTTACATTATTTCTCCCCTAGAGAGCGCTCCTATCAACACTTTGGCAACTTCAGTCTCATAAGTGAAAAGTACTCATGAGTGTAGGCTGGTTAAAGCACAGTAGTTTATAGGCAGGTTATTTCAAATAACACAATCATTTATATGCGATATAATGATAATATTCTAGCTATAGAGTCTATCAAATCTTTTATTCAATCAGTGTAGGAAAATGCTGACTGGTCATGAAGTCAAGTCTTAGTCTAAATCAAACCCAAACATCTCTTGAAGAAAATAAGCATTATTCTAATCAACAAATATCCTCCTTGCTGTTAGCCGATCACTGTTAGATGTGTGTCATTTGTACAGTCAAACTTGGGGATGTGCCCAGTCTTGGAAAGTCAGAAAAGTAGGTCTTGCAAAATTTTGGCAAACCGTGCGAATTGAGCCAAGAGGACTAATCCACAGCCCCAATCATGTGGATGTAATTACAGCCCAGGGAAGCAGTCACCTCATGCGCTCATTTCCCAGACTTTGCGTGGTGTTTGCTGCGTCACCGGTTTGCAAATCCTTTGTCTCCGTAATTCATGTCGACTTTCAAGAGTCTAATCTTCCCTTCGCAGAAGCAGAAGTTATCTGTCAGAAATGTGAAGAAAGCCCATGTCATCTACAGTACACATGACGAATGTGATGGCTTTCTAGAAAACTGACTGAGAGGTTTGGTGTTTTTGTTATTTTGTAATAAGCACTGGACATTTTGAAAGATAAATTTTAGGAAAAGAGTTAAGACGAGAAAACATGCCATCAAGAGAACAACCAGTTTTAAGCAAACAGCACACGCTGAGTGGTGCAAACCGACCCCTGGCACGGCTTTAGCTGATTGGAGTCAAAAATGGTTTAGAATTCACCCTCAAACTGCAACTTTTTCTCCTCTGTAAGATTATATTCGGAGATATAGGGAAACGGCAATCGGGTCCAGCTGAGCTATGATGAAAGAAGTGCCCGCCTACAGTCACTTACACTGAATCCCTGGTTGAACAAAAGGTACAACAACAAGACAAGGCAAGTTTATTTGTACAGGACATTGTGTAAACAATGGCAACTCACAGTCCTTTGCAAAGGCATTAACACGAGATAAAGTCATTTAAAAGATAAGATTGACTGTTGAAGGATTTAAAGAAAGAAGAGGTTCAACAGAACAGTAAAATTGACCTAAAAAAGGCATGACAAAGCAGTTTTCTGCTTAACTCATACTGTCTGTTTCCAGTGTTGGTGCCCAAACTTATTCCATCTATGTACAGCTTAGCAGCTAAATGTATTTTCAAAATGTTTGGGCCAAAGTTGGGGTTCTCCCAGCTGACTATAATACCAGTAATGTATTCAGGCTATTATGAAACAGTTTTAAAGTTTTTTCTGTGGGTAACTTGGAGCCAGTGTAAGGACGTCGGAACAGGAGTAATGTGCTCACTTTTTCTGATTCTTGTCGGGAATATGTTTCCGACGTGTAAGGCCAGTTAAAAAGCCATTACAGACATCAAGTCTGCCAGAAATGAAGGCATGAATGAGCATTTCTAACTCAGCTCGGGACATTAGCTGACTCTGACTCTCTGACCTGGGAGATTTGCTAGAAGGGTTTAAGCTGTCTTAGTTACAGCCTTATAGTTGTTAAAGTTCATGTCCGAGTCCAATAAATCTCCAGTATTCACTTTTTTGTTACTAAATGGAATTATTTCTATCTTATCGTGATTTAAGGGGCAGTTGCTTGATTTCTTCCAGCTGTTCACTCGCTCCGAGCATAGACAGAGTGAGTTTAATAGACAAGAGTCTTTTGATGTCGACTAACCTGTGTTGCTTAAAGTTATTACCAACTCTTTCTGCTCAAAATATAGAGGTGAGGATTTTTAATTAGACGACAAAGAGGAGATCATCACTCCCTGGTTTTGAGTGTTTACTGCTGCTCAGGCTCATAATTTCCAGCCTGGCCAGTGAGTGGAAAATGTAAATCACTAAGACAAGGCTGGAGATAAGGAAAGCATTCAGATGTATGATTCATTTACTTTCAACAGATATTTGTAGTGAGAGTTTTCAGCCTTTGTATGTTGCTTTTTGGCTGAAAGAAATCAAATAAAAAACTGCACAGATAACAGAGGTCCACAACAACATGCCACAGGAAGAGAAAAAGAGGTGCCATCCCCTGGGGATGAACGGACAGCTCGGCAGCGCCTGATTGAAACCAGATGGAGGAGGGCAGCCCTCTCAGGATATATCCAGTTTCCTCTGGGAAACTCCCTCCTAAGACCACTGCTACAGGAAAGGTGATGCAAGACTCCCGCTGCCCCCGCACTGATTATTCAGAGATTCAAGGTGGCAGCCAGCTGTTTGGGGCTGGGAGTGGTTTTTTCACTGTTAAAAAAATAACCTCGGTAGACGTGAAGTCATTTGGAAGTGTAGGTTTTGTCCTTTTGAGCTGAATGATAATCTCTCTTTATCAGCTGATGACTAGGCTCCTATAATGTACTTTTTGTGGTAGAGAATCAACAAGTTTCATCCTGGGCTGTCTTGTTTAATATGTCCTGTTTGCCTCCTGTTGTTTTCTTAATAAGAGACGGCTCTCTGTGCTTTGCTACGTGTCCTTACCCTGGATACTGGAACGAGGGGAAAAACTGACTGAAACTTTTAAGTGTACTGAGCACAACAGGGTTGTCATCAGTGACCCGTAAATTTAAGTTAATGGTTTTGCATTCACATTATCTTATCAAAGGTGTACTCTGATGCAACTTATTTCACTTGCGCAAATAATGCATGCTGAGCAATACCAATCCTAAATGAATTAATCGATATTAATCTATAAGAAAATGTGACACTACATTAAAAGATGGCCAAGTTTAGAAATGATTATGTAAGTGTGACAAAGCATATTTCTGTTCTGTATGTTATCGACATGGACCTTTTATGTCCGTCTGCCATTGCTCAGAAGTGCACCGTGTTGTAAAGATTACAGTGCAAGTGTTTTAGGCTCAACGACGGTGTGAGTGACCCGATAGAGAAGATGTCCCAGGACAATCCATACTTACTCTCAGATAAACCACCGAATAACCTGACTCAGGCTTTTGTCTCCCCCAAAGACAAAAAAAGGATAAAAGAGTGTACAAAGGTTATGTTCATGTTTTCTTATGCAACATGGAAAAGCTCCATGACATGCGGAGGAATTACGCAGCCTTTGATAATCAAAAGTATTTTTAACTGAACAAGCTTCCCGTGGACATTTTTGACACAATTGATTTATGAGTTCTAAGTTCAGAGAAAAGTCAAATGTTTAAGGCTTGTAATCATCTTGGAAGCTCCTGAGAGGGTCTCCCTATTCGTGCATGCTGATGGTTTAAAAAAAAAAAAAAAGCTAATCACAGAGGAATCCCGCATTCCTTAGGTTTTCTTTCTTTAAGGTTTTCCTACAGTAGCCAGTAACCACACCAAAACTTTACATCCGTGCAATAATTTTATTGATACTGTAATTAGGGTAAAGATAACCTCTATGCTATAAGATAACTTATATCGAACTGATGCTCTCAGATGGCTTCTGGGTCAGTCTGGCTTGTTATCAGGTGTTATTTATGAGTGTGTGAGTAGGCCTGCATTCCAGCATTATCAGCAGATCAATGATAACCTGTGCAAT